ATCAAAGTCATTGCTTTTGTTTAGAGCACATCGCAGTCTGGTCTTCCACGTGGGGGGGTCTGGTTTGTCCACTCCTTCCCGGTGTTTGCCCTTAAATAAAGCCCAGGCCTACGATAACCAACAACACAGTAAGTACTCGTTCGTGGGCATGTCATGGTAGTTGCATCGAACACATTCATTGGCTTAAACGAAGATCATGAGTTGATATACTGTAGTAATACATTAGTAAAACACCTGGCCAAGTAGAACGCGCCTGGAGACCAACAAGATACATATTATTGAGTTAGCAGTACTTGGTAAAGTGTACCAGAACACTAAGCTTTATTGAATATCCAGCAGTGGGGCGGGGGGTGGAATTAGGTCAAAGTAAGTAGAATAAATGTGTCGTTCTTAACCTTAAAGAGAGCAGCATCCTCGTCACGATTGTAATCCTGTTTTCCGGCATGCTTCCATGGGATCCTGAAAATGCTTTTCTCGTCATTCTCCCACACCAGTCCAGGGTACCCACTGCTGTCAATCTGGTCGATGAGCCACTGTCTAAGTTTCCCGTTGCCACAACTCATTGACCCGCCGCTGTCCCCCTGCAGGGTCATCTCTGTCGAAAGGGGGCACACAGTAGAAGGATGGAATATGATGACATGGGAAGCAATAATGCAGTAATGTCAATTGAACGCTATAGTGATTAATGTCATCAGGGAAGTCAAGGTCTATAAAATGTGCCGAGTGTTCAGGAAATTAGTCTGTCACTGCTCACTTTAGAGTACATGCATTTACAGTAAAGACGGTGCAAAATAAACATTCTTTAAGGTTGTTACATTTTTAAATCCAGTAATGACATCAAACGCAAAACAACCTGCTCTTATTTAAGCACAAAAGACCTATATGGATTTCTCACGTTCATTATTTTCTTATATGCTCTAAGCCCATAACTGCAATCAGATAAAAACTGTGTTCTAAGTTCATTACATGTGTACAGATAAGTGGATCGACTTCAGAAGTGTCTATAAGCTGCTTACCTCTGACCATGTGAGCGTCTCTAACAGGGTGGAATCGATCTCACTGACCCCAGGAGCACGGGATGCCCTATTCTTAAATATTGTCACATCTTTAGGCCGAAGGAGGAGCCTCCGATGTCGCTTCTTCACTCGAATAGGGGACATGCGTACTCTGCGCACATACTCTGCGCATTTCTCTGGGCATTTCTTTGAAGCTTATCGAGCATAACCTACAGTAGTCTACAGTAACTGGATGGGGAATCCCTCTCGGGTGGCCAACACTAAACGCAAACACGGCCATGCAGTGGAACAATTTGCCTGCCTTCTGCACAAACAGAAACTCCCCGAACACGTAACGGATTCCGTAATAATACATCTATATTTAGGTTTATAGGGTAGATACATTATATTATAGAAACATAAAACATATATGCCTTGGGTTTTTATGACTGTGTTGATTTCAATAGAAAAAATGCATGAAGTCAATTATCTGTAATTAGATTTTTTAACGTAGCCTATGAGAACAATTTGATCTTATAGAGTAGGTTCGTTCTTTTCATTCACAAGTGGCCAAAAATATCAATTAGATGTGCTTTAATATGGAACGACTGCTGCCCTCCAGTGGTGTTGTAGAGTATACATTTGAACTTTATATACTGTATGCTGTTTCAGGTACTTGGAGGGAATTGGTTACAAACACTTTAAATGTGTTTCCTTTTCATGACCAGATGCACTCTATTCGTCCAATGCAGACAGTTAGGTGTGTCTGACAAGGTTGTTATTACTTCTGTCATGCGAGGCTTCCTTTGCCTACCACACAAACAGGAAATAGACCCGGAAACAGAGAGGTAAACACCAGAACCGTCTGCCTGTCATGACACTGGCGTTCCAAATTTGGTTTGTCTCCTCTGTTCTCGGGGTTACTTTGTTATTCATCACCCAGGAAACCGATAAGTGGTGGAGAGGTTGTATAGCCATGACTAATCTGTTAGTCACATTTCATCGTGAATAACAACGGTTTTATTTCATTTCATGTACAAGTTATCTGTCCAATAATCCCCAAAAAAATCCAAAAGGTCACCACCAGTTATGTGAATTGTGATTTAAATACTCTTGAACAACGTTTGTTTGTAACAGACACAAAAATGTAGAAATTAGCATTACATTTGAGACACACCTCACCGATACACAGACGGGCCACAAATAAAGTACAGAGGAACATGAAGCATCTCAGGAAGGTGTTTAGCCCCCGCCAGCCACCAGGGGTGCACTAATTCTACCGTGGCATAAATGCAACAAGTCTCTGAAAATCCACTGGAGGGTTCAGGCACCATCCTCCCAAAGAACATTCCCTCATTTAGTGTGCCGCTGGTGGAGAGCGTTGTCTGACACGTCGGTCAAAAACCACACATCAGTGTGAAAAAATTCGAAGAGACTGCATCTTGTTGACAGTATGTTATGTGTTACATGGGGGATAGAGACAAGTTCACTTTAACATTATATATAAAAATCTCAACCGTATAAAACAATGACCACATTGTCACATTGTTGCTTTTGTAGAAACTCTTCCCACAATTTTTGTTGACTTCCATATTTGCTATTTTAGGCTTTCCCTTGAAAGCATCCAATAGGTTAGCAGGCTACGGAAAGAGAGCAGAGTTGTAAAATGCACAAAGTTTGAGTATTATTCTGTGTTTGCCAGTTTAGGGAAGTTCTCAAATAAAAGATAAATGACCAGAATAAACTGAGTTCTTAACTAATTGATTAGTCCCTTCACCTGGTCGTTTTGCTCTTAATTCAGAAATTCACTAAACTTAGAGCAACTCTAAAGATAGGCAAATACTTTTACTTTGTACTTTTTCTTTTTCTTGAAGAGTATTCTCTACGTGACAGGCAGCTTTCCTCTCAAGTTCTTGTGTAATTAAATCCTACTTTGGAAGACACACACACCTTGAATAACAGTTTAATTGGTCAGATGAGAAAAGCAAATACCCATTGTCATTTTAAAAATGAGTATCTGTTTTTAGATCCACTCTTGTTAACAAATTGTTGTTAATGATGTATGATTAAGGATGAACTCTCGCATACGTGTTCGTTTTTTAAGACTTCCTTTCTGTTTATTGAAAATAGCTAGGACACGCCTCCTTACCCTACTTACAATTTCTGAACAAACAGTTGCACGCAGGGATTTTTTTATATAGAGACAATCGATGTTTGAGATGAAGACTAGGTCCTTCTGAATGTTATGGGGTAGAATCCTAATTATTTGAGCTCTTTAACAGGCCACATAATAGTCCTTGTCCTTTTCAACCTGGTTCCTCTTTTCCTATAAAGCACAATTTGACCGGCATTATACTCTGTTGTGCTGGGGACAATAAAACACAGTTGTTTGGATGCTGACAATAAAACAGTGATCTTTGCAGTGTTCTGGTGGTGAAAATAAAACATGAACTACAGTGATGTGGTAGTGAGAACATAACAGTGAAGTAGTTGTTGTCGTGGTGGTGACAATGAAACAGTGAACGATTGCTGTCGTGGTGGTGACAATTAAACAGTGAACCGTTGTTGTGGTGGTGGTGACAATTAAACAGTGAACCGTTGTTGTGGTGGTGGTGACAATTAAACAGTGAACCGTTGTTGTGGTGGTGGTGACAATTAAACAGTGAACCGTTGTTGTGGTGGTGGTGACAATTAAACAGTGAACCATTGTTGTTGTCGTGGTGGTGACAATTAAACAGTGAACCGTTGTTGTTGTCGTGGTGCTGACAATTAAACAGTGAACCATTGTTGCTGTTGTGGTGACAATTAAACAGTGAACCATTGTTGTGGTGGTGACAATTAAACAGTGAACCATTGTTGTGGTGGTGACAATTAAACAGTGAACCGTTGTTGTTGTCGTGGTGCTGACAATTAAACAGTGAACCATTGTTGCTGTTGTGGTGACAATTAAACACTGAACCATTGTTGTGGTGCTGACAATTAAACAGTGAACCATTGTTGCTGTTGTGGTGACAATTAAACACTGAACCATTGTTGTGGTGGTGACAATTAAACAGTGAAACATTGTTGCTGTTGTGGTGACAATTAAACACTGAACCATTGTTGTGGTGCTGACAATTAAACAGTGAACCATTGTTGCTGTTGTGGTGACAATTAAACACTGAACCATTGTTGTGGTGGTGACAATTAAACAGTGAAACATTGTTGTTGTCTTGGTGGTGACAATTAAACAGAGAACCATTGTCGTTGTTGTTGACAATGACAACAATCCCCTGACATACTGTTCAAGCCCGACAGTCAACACATAATGTTCAGTTGAAAGTCACCAAGAACCATTCCGTTTCAATCTAATAACCATTTTCGTCTCGAAATGACAGTTCCGATTTTATTATTGCACGAAAACACTGACGCGAAGACAAACAATGCATCGTGAGAATAGTTTACAGTGTCATTGTTTAGAAAAACAAGTACAAATACCAGACAAAGCATACATAAATTATGTGTAATGAAACCCAGTAGTGTTATTAAAAATTCTTCATTTGGAGCGTCCAATGGCCCAACGTCCCCCAGTCTTCTTCAATGGACAAACAATAACAGAAAGAGTGACTGGTCCAATGGTGTGCTGACGAAGAGGAAAGTCCTCCCCTTTCTCAGAGCCATAGTGGCCACAGTGCAAGCCTTTAGACCGGGCCAGGGAGGTCTCAGGTACCCTGTACTGCTGGAGGGTCCGGTGGTTCCACACTCACTTCCACGTCCGCTCCATTCGGTCTGAGACTGGTGGCCGACAGGATGCGGATGTCGTCCCGGTCATTGAAGGGGTTCTCTTTGTATTCCTGCTGAAGCCATTCCCTGTACTACAAGAGCCGTGGACACATGTGTCAATAGTCTTCTCTGTCAAGACAGGTGCATTATTTTCCTTATAAGTAATGTCAAAACACAACTTGTTATTTTTTTATTTAACCACTTTTTAACCAAGTTTGAGAACCAATTTGCAACGGTGACCTGAGGAGAAGCTGGGGATTGAACCCAGGACATCATACATACGAAGCATCCACTCTTACCACTAAGCCTGGTCGCCTCTTAACTTACCTGGGCAACGTGGTTGGTCTCAAACTCCTCTAGTTGGTGCTGGAATCCCAGGTTGGGGCTGGCGCAAGACCGAGCCGCCCTGACAGCAGCCAGAGTCTCCTTCCAGCCAAGGCCTGTCACGGTCATGATGTAGGCCACCACCAGCGTGACACTGCGAGACACCCCAGCCAAACTGCAGGGAGAGAGGCGTGGTTGGATAAGGAGATATTGAGTAGGACTGAATATGGTTGCAAAAATGCCATTATGTGAAAAGTAAGTACACCTCCTGGAAAGTGCTGCAAACACATGGAAATTTGGGACAAATTCGATTCAACAAAGGACACACAAAATATCTGTGATAGCATGTATTCAATTTAAATAAATAATACACACCCCAACCTTTTACTGTCACATAAAATGGCTACATTATGCACAAAGAAAAAAATATGTAAATCAAGCAGAGACAGAATGGCTCAAAAAGTAGGCAGGGTTATTGAAAGTTCAGATCTTTATCAGAATTTTGCGGCGGACTTAAAGCGGACTGTGTATGCAAGAAAGCTCTTAAACATGACACATTTTAGCATTCCTGTAACGAAAAGAACGGGCAGAAAATACTCCTAGTTGATGTAAGAGACGGAAAGTTACAAGAAATGGCTACATGATGTCATAGCAGCTATAGGAAGCACTGCAGCTATTGACACTACGTTTTTCAAGTTGTCGTTTGTTTGTGTGATTTGATCATTTGGTTGCCTTTATCAATTAATGTTGTTGAACTTTATTTAGGTTGGGTTAATGGATAACAACAAAATGTAATACTAAATCCCAAATGGAGTGAGTTGACAAACAAATAAAATTGTATTTCCATGAAGATACTCAATCCTACTAGAGCATGGGTTCTCAACTGTTTGATTGATGGACGGAGGGATGGACAGAGAGATAGATGGATGATAGATGGATGAATAGGTGGATGGATAAATGAATGTATAGATAGATGGATGATAGATGGATGAATAGATAGATAGATGGATGATAGATGGATGAATAGGTGGATGAATAGGTGGATAGATAGATGGATGAATAGGTGGATAAATGGATGGATGAATGTATAGATAGATGATAGATGGATGAATAGATAGATAGATGGATATACTGTAATTTGGGGAAGTATAAGAATACCTGTCTGTCTGTATTTGTCTGCTACTTAGCTTAGCCACACCTGTGCACATTTCTGCACCCCAAGTTAAACCATGAGATAAAGCTGTTTCTCACCAGTGCACCAGACAACCCTCTCCTTTAAGCCGTGACTCGTGCATAAACACGATGCTCTGTTTGAAGTGCTGCATCCTGAAAATAACAACTGACCGGTCAATCACAACAGACCACGACATACATTATGTTAGAGAACATGAACGATAAAAAGATAAAACTCTGTTATCATGCCAACAGCAGTACAACTGGGCCCTAACCCCAGACATATGGAGGTTTGGTGGGTGTGAGGTGGATATGGGTGTATTCTAAAAGGTCCATCCATCTATTCTTTTGACAGAACCAGGATGAGAAAGTGATGTCTGTGTCCATCTCCGCTTAGCCATGACAGTTTCACATTTCGCCTTCAGGTTTCACACATAAAGCTGAAGCGGGGAAGTGTCGGTAACAGATGAGTGACATCTATGTGTGTCGTGTGTGTGTGTGTGTGTGTGTGTCTGTGTCCGTGTGTTTGAAAGTTGTAATAAAAATAGAGGCGATGCAGTGGAGAAGGACGATTCAATACTCCAGCACAGAACCAGAGACATCCTGTTCCTTCCTGCTTTGAGGACCAAACCTACGTGTATGCACACAACCAGAGGAAATATATTTGTGTGTGTGTGTGTGCCCGCATGATCGTGCCTGTTTTGCATCACCTGTGTTTCTCTGAGCTTTGTACTTTCCCTAATGCGCGTCTTAATCCCTGTGAGCGATCAAATCGTCATCACATCAGACGGATGAAAGGCTGAATTAGCGAGTCATCTGCTGATTTATTCAGCGCTTCGACTCACAGTCAGCATGTGTGATCATGTGAAGTATATCAATTTGAGATCGGGAGAACATGAAATGGGGACGCCCACACCACGGGTGTGCTGGATAGAACAGAACTGACTCGTCTTCAGCCCTGTTCTGTTCTGCTCTGTTCTGTGTGACCGTCTTGTTCACTGTCTTGTTGACTGTCGCTTTGCGATGGGATACTCACAAATTCTGTGTGGGAAGGTCTGCCGCTGATATGCATAGATAGGTCATCTCCTGCAAGACAACGGCCAACTGTTAAAGGCTCCAACACAATTACCAACTAATAGACAATACGTACGCCAACAGGATCGTTGAGCCCAACTCACACTACACACTGTTACGTAACGCTGAGTCCTCTGTCTTAGAAGTGTTTCTGCAAACAACAAGATCCATTATGTAAGCTCACACACACACACACACACACACACACAAGGTCCTGTTTCTGTCCTGTCTAGACTGTGTTTGTGACCATGTGTGCCGCTGTGTTAAGGAAGTGCTGATGGGGAAAAGACTGTGCTAGTTGGTTTTGGGAGAGGTAGAATAGGACAGAACCGAATCCATACACGCTAGAACCAGTGCACTGGGTCAGAAGCTGAAACGAATAGGACTCTGGGCCGCCTACTCTTCCGCCTACACCCTCATGCAGTCCTCCACGGGCTTCAGCAGATTCTGGCTGTTGAAGCCAACCCTGTTTTGTACGGGAACAGGTCTAAAAATACATTTCATGACAGAGTCCCATCCCGCTGTCCTGAATAACCCGACAGACAGGTCCAGAACAAACATGCATCATGACTGTCGTACAAGCCAATTATTTCCTTAACCAAACATCATATGACGATAATCAACAAAATACATTTAACTACTGTGTACCGTCAACAGTGGATGTTGTGTTTAATTATGCAGCAGAGAGGAATGGAAGCATTGTGTAAAATCCATGTCCCCGGTGTTATTAGAACGCGGGTACATTTTATAATACTTTAATAAACAGGAAACATACAGTGTTCTGCTGTTTTGTGAAAGGTCCCCGCTGCGTTCTTTTCTTACCGGCAGGATAGGGGCAGCACTGTCATGGATAGAGAGAATGTGGGTGATGTTGTTCCGGGCCAACTGCTCCCGGTCCCTGGCATCTGAGGGGAGAAGCATTGAACGTCAAACGCACAGTCTAGAAAATGAAAATAACACATACTCAAATTGATTATAGTCAAAGTTTTTGTTAAACCCTTATTGCAAATTTTTATCAATTTTAATGTGATGAAACACTTACCTTTAAAGTTTCCTAAGTACAAGTCAGGCAGGACCTATGGTGACATAAGAATTATCGGTGAACTGCAGTTTAGAACTGACGTGACCTGACAAGATTAAGCAGGTCATTCAATAACCTAACAACAAGGCTTAGGCAATCGTACAACTACTCAAAACACATGTCCCCATAGGCCTATAATAAAGCTACTAACAGAAATAACGGGTACTCTCAGGTAAAGAGCATATAGGAGAACTGGGACAGTACATTTAGTTTGTCACCAGTATGATGACTTTAGCCACAGATACAGAACATGTTGTCAGTAATATGCGATATCTCTGGTTCCCTCTGTGCCAGTTGGATTTCATTGTCTTTAGCCCACATCACTCTTCTCATCACATTCATTTCTAAATCTAAATAAATTGATGACACTTGTTGTGTACACCAACTACCATGGCGACATGCAGAGAAGGCATATTAATTAAGTGTCTATGCATCCTACATGGATAAATCAGATGCAATACACTCAGAATGAATATCACCAAATCTGGTTTGCGTTGCCTGATCATTTTAACAGAAACCTGTCCACTGAATCCAACACATATATGTCAACAGAACTATACCTACAGAACCACAGTGCGATACCCAGAAACCGTACAGAAACTCCCCCGGGAGCGCATGCAAATCAACGTAAAGCATACCTTGGTGAGCCCATTACCCATTATAATAACAGAAGACGATTTCCGATCCGACGTGTGGGTATCACCGCATGTATTGTAGCACTCTGCCTGGAGAAGCCTCCACAAGCTCTCCACACACCTCCCCAAACTGAGACGTCAGACAGAGGGCAGCAGCGGCGGTGTGCGTCCGGGTCTCCGTATGTCTTCAATGTCTCCTGGGATATGTCGTTTATCCTTAGGACGTCCGCCTCAGAGTAAACGAACAGATGCACAGATGCCGCGTAGCCTATTTATATTTGCCACTTCGACAATATTATATATTTGAGGGGGGAGGGGCATTAATTGGTAAAGTCTAGAAGCCATTTTAGACATGAAATGTCCGATTTTAATTTCTAATCATGAAAAAAGGATCGCTGCAACTACTTAATGATTACGTTTAGGTATGGCATCTATGTATATGCGGTGTTTTTCATTAACATATGAATAAAGGAATCAACTTAAAGTTTCTTTTTAGCAAAACCAAAGTAGGACTACTTTAATTTACCAACATCCATACATACTAATGCGTTCGTTTTTTATTATTTAATCATGTCAGTGCATTGATCCATAAAATGATTGATAAACAAAAGCAGACTCGAATAGACAATAAGATCCAGAAAAAATCATGATGCCAGGGTTACCGTAATGATGCCAGGGTTACCGTAATGATGTCAGGGTTACCGTAATGATGTCAGGGTTACCGTAATGATGTCAGGGTTACCGTAATGATGCCAGGGTTGCCGTAATTATGCCAGGGTTACCTTGATGATTCCAGGGTTACCATAATAATGCCAGGGTTAGCGTAATGATGCCAGGGTTACCGTAATGATTCCAGGGTTACCGTAATGATGCCAGGGTTGCCGAAATTATGCCAGGGTTACCTTGATGATTCCAGGGTTACCATAATAATGCCAGGGTTAGCGTAATGATGCCAGGGTTACCGTAATGATTCCAGGGTTACCGTAATGATGTCAGGGTTACCGTAATGATGTCAGGGTTACCGTAATG